CAAACCAATTTCTCTGTTGTCATTTTTACCCGTGTCTATTTGTTATGCCATAAACTTTGAACCTGTGTTAATGAAACTATGTAGCATTGTGCAATTGTCCATTGGTCACTGCTTGACTATGATTAGTGTGCCTTTTCTTCTTCTATTGCTGCTACAGAGCAACTGATTTTTTGATATGGTTGCTCATTAGCCTTGGACCCTGGTTATTCTCTATGTAACAGTTCATATCAGTACTACCTCCGTTTCAGTTTACAAGTCCTGTGCGTATACCTAGGTTGCCAATTTTATCACCCTAATATAAACTATATAACACAAAAATTATACCTTTTGAAAGTAGAAACTCCGAAGTTTATGTTGGTATATTTTTTGTAATATATGATTTGTATTAGGTTGGTCAAATTGACGACCTAGGAGTACACGCATGCCCTGTAAACTGAGAGAGAGGTAGTAGTTCTGTCTATGACATTAAATTCAGTTTTATGCTTTCTGGAGTTTGAAGCTGTTGCAGTAGTTGTTTTTGTAAAATAGTTGCTGACCAAGAAATGATGCTCTCATAAAGAATAACTAGCTTGTCAAATGTTTGAGTAGATTTAGTGATTAGATCTTACGCAAGAGTAGGTTCATGTATCTCCGCTGATTCAACTCTATTAAAATGGTTAGCCAAATTTTGTTTCGTGGAATGAACACTTGGATTCAGCACATCATACTAGTTGTTCTATCATCTTACCCCCTAGGTTTACAAACCAGTTGATAATGGTTTCCTTTGTAATGTTGCTCTTGGAGTTCCTTCTATACTGTCCATAGTCTGAAGCGGTTGGTGAATTTTATTTAGCATTTCAATCTTATTCATGTGGCACTCAAGAATAAGCAATTGCGAGTCTATTACAATCCCTTGCTGTATGTTTACTGAAGGGGTCAGATCCTGGTGAATGTTTCACATGAGACATCCTCCTGTTGCAAACATGTTGATACTAATACCTTTGTTGCTTTCAGTTCTTAATTTATGTCTTGCATTGAACTATATACATTCATATTGGAGTTTGATATGTCCCATGTGTATTACGTCATCCTCTTTCTTGATTGGCATTCACATGCAAGTGCTGAATAATTTGGGTGTTTGTAGCTGCTGTTGCTTTGTGTTATGTTATTTTTTTTCCCGTGTACACAGTCCATTTCTTATGCTGACATGCTGCTTAAATGCAGGGATGAGTATGACGGTCGAGCAGTGGGAGACATTCAGCAAATCAGTACCTGCAATAGAAGACGCCATCAAAACACTTGGAGAATCAGATTGAAAGGATGCCACAAAAACCTAAAAATCTCGACACCGTTCTGGACCTCTGCAAGTAGAGTAGTCCATGTGTGCTCTGAGTACTCCATGGGGCTACTAGAGTTCATCTGGACTTGTATAAAGCTTCTCCCTTAGTCAAGGTACCGTACCTACTGATTCGTGCTGGGTAGACAGTTTGGGTGTGTTCGCGAACTAGTTCTCCGCCGGTATGGTGGACCGAAGTTTCATCGCTGTGCCATGTGATCTCGTGCTGTTTAATTGTCCTTTCTGATACCGTATGGATATGACGGGCCCTTAAGGCTATCGTTGTGAGTGAGTAGGACAACTGCCGAAAGCCGTCGTTTTCGGCTCAAGTTAAATCAGGGATCTTGATGTGTGAGGGATCTTGATGTTCACACATCGAAATCTTCTAACAGTTTGAATTTTGGAAGTCTTGGCTGATCACGCAAACGGAAATTTCTACGCGGTCGTGCTGCTGCTGCAGGGAAAGCATACATGAACACCTACAGGAAGGACCTGAGGGGATAATAGACTTGTGTTTCGGCTTGAACATGGAAGACTCACAGTGAGACCAGGACAGGAAGTATCTATCATAATACTGCACAAGATAGTACGTGGCTGACAGGGCCGCGGCTGTAGATCCACGTAGCTCATTGGAAAAAAGAGCTTTACTATTTCTTGTAGGATTTTGCCACTGGTGGTACATAGGTACTCTCTCGGTCCTAAAATAAGCGTTTTAACTTTAATACAACTTTATACTAATTAGTACTACAACTTTATACTAAAATAAATGTGTTCTAAGACGTATTTTAGTGTTAGACACATCAATCTGAGCAACAACTAATATGGATCGAAGTCCAAAAGTAAGCTACACTTGACAAGCCAAATAAGCCTCGATTTGCTTTCCAATGCCGCATGCTTTTCTTGTGTGCTGCATATCTCCATCACAGTGACGCACAGAGGCCACTTCGTCCCTCGTGATTAAAACTCCAGGATCGTCTTGTCTGTAGTGTCTGTTATCAGCTTGTGCAGGATTCCGTTTGAGCAAAGCTTGTGCAGGATTCAACAATGGAATATTGGAAGGCCAATCAGCAGGATAAATAGATGCATGACCTACTCCTCTGATCAAAGAATATTAGTTTTCCATGGAAGAGCGCGAGCTTGAGGGGTCATTGTCCTTGCTCTACCTTAAAATTGCATCCTTAGATCTGAAATCCGGCGCGGATGAGAAGGAATCTCCATTTCTCCAAGCCTAGTAGTATATCTGAGCACTAGAGGGCCAAAGCAGGTGATCGAAATCATTTTCTTTTCCTTTCAACAAAGCTGATAAAAGGCTCCCGTGTTTCACGAGTCCCCTAATCCTGAAGCCAGGACAAAGGACCATGATGAATCAATTTCAGAGTTGCAGTGAATTTGACTTTCTGTTGCTTGATTTGGACGCCTCCGTTGGCAACCAGAGATCAGTGCTCCGTTTGTCAATCAAAAATAGAAAAGATATTGTGCTCCAAAGAAGCAAAAAAGAAAGAAAAGGGTTCAGTTAGTTCTGTACGAATTGCAGGAATTGTGGTGTCAAGTTAGGACATCTCCAACGACAACATGTAAATTTCTTCCCGCATCCGTCCGCGGAGAAGGGGGACCAGTCCGTGAACATGGATGCGGGAGGCCGTCATCCGACGTTGTCCGCGTACATTTTAAACTCGTTTTCAATAAACCAGATAAAATTCATGCAAAAATGGCCATATTTCATATAAACAAGCCGACATTCCTGCAAACACGACGGATTTTCATTAGATTTCGAACATTTAGAAAAAAAAACGACCCGACCCTAAACCTATCCTACGGCGGCGGTGGCCGGCGTCGAAGCCCTTGTCGTCCTCCATCCGCCATCTTCATGAGCAACGGCGATAAGACCCGTGAAGTGAAGGTGCGGCCTCCGGCGAGGAAGATTAGAACACATGAGATGGACCGGCCCACATGGGACACTAGGCCCTGCCGCCTCCCGTGGCCTACTCATTATTGAAGGAGTCTATGACCTATCCGTCGTCGGTGGACGTGAGGTCCACGATGGAGATGGTGGTGCAGGCGCTGTCGTCGTCCAACCGGGCCGCCCGATAGTTCGTCGGCGGCGCGCAAGAGGCGCAACTGGCCTTGTTCTCCTCCGCGATCGCCTGTAGCCGCGCCTCCGCGGCGGCCGCTTCCTGCTGGGCGGCGGCTTGAGTGCAGACGGTCTCGTAGATCGCACGTTGCTCCGCGACAAAGTTGCGGTTCGCCGCGGTCATGGCCTCCATGGCCTCCTCGTTCCAGGTCGTCTCACCGTCATCCTCCTCTCCGACGAGGTGGGTGCACCACGTGCGGCCGATGGACATGGTGGAAGTGGGCGGCAAGCGACAAGCCGGGACCACCCTGTTGTGTTGCTGTTGTCTCGGGTTGAAAAGGATAAAGAAGACATGGAGGCCAGTCGCGGATTCGCGTGAGATCCAGATCCTACAACAGAGTAGTTGTTGCGGTGGAGAAGATTGCAACAATGATTCAGTTGCAAAACCTAAATTATGTACATAGGTTGCTCCTCAAACCATTCGATCAAAATAGATCCGACGGCTAGGGAGGCGACGGGAGCGGGCTGATGGCAAGCTTTTCCCATAAATTGTCTTAGAAAAGTTGCTAAGAAGTTAACACACGCTTGACATTTCCACGTACTAGAGAGCTGCCGGTGATGTGCCTAGTTCAGTCGTTTGGACTCACTCAGTTAGTTGCGGCAAGCATCATGAGACTAAACAACTTGTGTATTATCAGCCAAACAGACCACATATTTATATCTGCAGGTACAGACGAAGACAGGAAACGAGGTACCAAACCAAAGCAACGGCATCTTTCCATATCGCGCAATGCCCACAAGTTGCACGTTGCTGAGCTAACAAAACCGCCATGCGTCATGTGTGAGGATTTAAATATCGGAACACTCACACGGCGCGCACACAGGCATGCAAATTACCGCTGGACGAGGACACTGGAAAATACTACTGCTTTGTCCATTTTAGAGCATCTACAATCGGACGCCCCATACAAAATCGGCCGTCCCAAATATAACCTAAACGTCCGGGCTGATGATCCTCATAGCATCTACAGCCGGATTTTGCAAATTCGGCCCCTCAAATGCGCACGGACGCGACCGGACGCATCCGCGGATAATGACCGGTCACACCTTAAATTAGCCGCTCTACATCTAAGAGTCTCTCATATTTCGACCCCCTAGATCCATACAAAACATGCAAAAGAAATCCTATGCACTACATACTATCCTAGTTACTCTTCGTCGTCGGAGATGTCCATCACGATGGTGCCGTGCGCCGGCTGGACGGGCAGGTAGGTGGGCTCCCGCTCGACCTCATCCATGTAGGCGAGCATCTCCGCCTCCTCCGCGGCATGCTGCGCCTCCATCTCCTGCCGGTGACGGCGTCTGGCCTCCACAACTGACTCCAACCGGAGGGAATCAAGGATGGCCTGCAGATCCACGTCGACAGCGTTCCCCACATCTTCCTCCTCCTCCGACTCATCCTCCTCCTCCTCCTCCAACTCCTCCTCTGGATCCACTGCATCCAGAGGTAGCCCCGCGGCGATCTGGGCTTCGCGCATTGCCCGGATCTGCTCAAGTAGCTCTAGCAGGCGCTCCGGCGTTAGAAATGGCTCGCTCCTCACCCGGCTGCGTGGGGGCATGGCTACTAGGCGGACGGGTGCAGTAGAAAGTGGCGGCGGCGGCGGACATGCGGAGGAAAATGTGGATGGTAGGGTTTCGGTGCCGCCGGTCGACTTAAATAGCCGGGTTAGGCACTACGCAGACCGCCGGAGCGGCGCCAAGCGGCACCACCGGTCCGAAGGAGGAGACAAGCTTCGGACCCCCGGATTTCCAGGCGTTTCCGCATGAGACCCAGCCGTCAGTCCAACGTGGCGGGCGTGCCCGCGCGCCCCCACATCCGCCCCATATTTGGGCTTGATATGAGGGGTGCCAGACAGCCCGGGCGTTGGAGGCCCGTTTGAGGGGCCCATTGTCGGTGTCAAAACCGGCGGATCTCGAGTAGGGGGTCCCGAACTGTGCGTCTAAGGCTAATGGTAACAGGAGGCGGGCGACACAATGTTTATCCAGGTTCGGCCCTCTCGATGGAGGTAATACCCTACTTCCTGCTTGATTGATCTTGATGATATGAGTATTACAAGAGTTGATCTACCACGAGATCGTAGAGGCTAAACCCTAGAAGCTAGCCTATGATTATGATTGTTGTTGTCCTACAGACTAAACCCTCCGGTTTATATAGACACCAGAGGGGGCTAGGGTTACACAGAGTCGGTTACAGAGAAGGAGATCTACATATCCGAATTGCTAAGCTTGCCTTCCACGCAAAGGAGAGTCCCACCCGGACACGGGGCGAAGTCTTCAATCTTGTATCTTCATAGTCCAACAGTCCGGCTAATGTACATAGTTCGGCTGTCCGAGGACCCCCTAATCCAGGACTCCCTCAGTAGCCCCTGAACCAGGCTTCAATGACGACGAGTCCGGCGTGCAGATTGTCTTCGGCATTGTAAGGCGGGTTCCTTCTCCGAATACTCCATAGAAGATCTTGAATATGAGGATCGTGTCCCGCTCTGCAAAATAAATTCCACATACCACCGTAGAGAGTACAATATTCCACAAATCTAATCTGCTGACAACTTTTCATAGCGTGACATCACGCCGCGGCCCGGTCATTATGCGAACCGTTTTTCTCAACCTGCTACCGCACATATCGCGAGGCGGTTTCATTGGCACGTCATGTCGAAGCAGAGATCGTGTCCCCTTATCACGGGATTCTCATCAATACGGGCGTGGGTAACCCAACCGCGCCATCAATGCGGCGCTTGGGGAATAAGCGAGTTTACCGGGCAAGTGGGGAGGTGCAGGATCCCTGCTGCCTTTATAAGGGGATAAGGACTCCCTTTTTCCCCCACGCCTTCTTCTTCCTCTGCTCATCC